TCCCTCTCCCCTCCCGCGAAATTTCAAAGAACTTCGAAAAACTGAAGAACAGACCCTCGATGGCACTTGTTCAGAGGTCTCATCAGAATTTTGCCCTGGATAGCTGCTGTTCAAAGACCCTCTGCTCTATGATTCCTCTCCATAACTGCCTCAAAGGCAGGGTCCACGGTCAGCGTGAAGAAGGAACGAGCTTTGGAGTGACGATTCCATCGTGCAGAATGTGTGCACGCTCGCACATATCTCAAGTTCCTACCGCTGGCGATTTCCTTTGCAACAGCCTTTTGAGGAATGGCTTGAAAAGATCTAAGAGTTCAAAAACCCTTTAGACCGAATAGACCGAACTTCGATGTGTAGGAAAGTTGTCCTTTCCCAAAGTAAGTGCGCTGAATAAAAAAAATGTAGTGGCAGCTATTTGATGTAATCGAAACCAGCAAGCTTTTTCTCGACAAGGGACTTTTTTGTGGTGCTCGAACAGATGTTGGCATAGTCAGACGAAGGGCGTTCGGAGAACTAAGCGCTGGCACCTTCTCATTGGCTTGGACTGCATGATCTTTGTTAAGTGAGGTCGAGGGGGAGGTTGTCATGGGGAGAAAAGCAAGAAATCATCCCGGTCGTGTTAGTTACGAAGGCCTGGGCGAAATTTGGTTGACATATTACAAGTGAAGAGAACGTCATGAGCAAGTCGTAGTACATTATTTCCCAAATAGGGGCTTCTGCGGGGTTCAGCCATATCATGGTTTGTAACGAGGGCCAAGTACGGACCCTACTGCAAAAATCTGTATAACTGGAAGTAGAAATATCGTTGAATAAATTATGGTCCTGAGATATCAAAGCAGTTAATACCCTAGTCCATCAAAATTTCTGCACCACCTCAGCCTTTCGGAATGTCCCAGAACAAAAATGAAAAAGTGAAATGCAGACAAATAATGCATGGTTTTTTCATATACACGCTTGTAATAATCTTTAAATTTTCATTTTCAGACGAACAGTGTTTGAATAAGTTCGATCCATTAGTCCTGTCACATCTTCGACATATATTGGAGGTAAACGATCAGTCGTCAAAGGAGCTACTTCTGCATCGATTTCTGCGTGAGTTCTGAACAATAAATGGTTCATAATTCAAATAATGGGTGATAATAAATTATAATGAGCGATATCTTCGTCTGAGCCAATTCATCCCAAAGGTTTCAAAAGGTAAGTTCAGTGTCATCGGTAGATATTGGAGAGTAGAGGCCCACAAATGAAAAACTTTAACTCATCGTCACTGTCCCACGTAATTTCATTCATCAGTAACCATGACCGCCATTGCTGCGGCTTCAAGAAGAACAGAAAACTTAGAAAAATAAAATAAAAAATATGAAAAGTAAAGTTCCATCACTTCTTGTAAAGAGCTCAAAGTTCTGTTTGTCTAGTGGCTCGAGATCTTGGAAAGCAAATAAGTGAAGGCATTAAATTTAGGACGATAGGATTGAATTTGCACTGTGAGAGCAATTTAGTTCATCGATCAAAGGTGAGCAAAGAGGGGAACTGAGGTGTATTCTAAAAAGAATAACTAGTCGGCGAGCAGCAGTAATTAGGTTAAGAACTAGTTCGACATCATTCCGAGGTGGATTGAATGGTCTGGACCTGTACGTGGGCTTCTGGTGATTGAGAACAACTTCAGATTCGGCCTACAGGCGGGGATAGGATTACAGATCATAGACCAACGAGACCAGTCCCCCAAGTTGCCCAGGGTAAAGTGGTGTACAGGTTTAGCTGAGCATTCCAAAGAGAATCCTTTTTTCAGTGAATTTTTCGTTTTGAAGGGAAAGAACTTCATCTGTAAATCAATTTCAGCTCATCACAAAGCAGTAATCTTCTTCGCCGTTTTCACTTTGGTGTTCGGTACTATCGGTATCATAACCGGAGCATGTTCGCCATGTTTTCCACCGAATTCGCTTCTTTACGTCGTATCAATATTCATGACAGGTCAGCGACTTCCTAATTTGCAAACTATTAAGTAAATCACTGAATAAAAAACTACTGAGTGACACTCGACTAAGTTTATTCCTTCAGGCGCCTGCTCCATGCTGTCAGATATCATTTTTATATTCGGTGCCACGAAAGACAGTAAAACTCTGCAACAAATTACGCTCAAAGAAGAACCGCAAATCCAGGTGGGCGACCTTGACCTTATGACTCTCATATTTACTTTACTACTTTACTACCCCTAGATATAATCTGACTGTTCTTTGGGCAAACCCCCGCCTCGCTCCAGGTTCAGTTTCTCTTCAACGAACCCAGGAAACACCGTCTGGGGATCAAATTTCGGCCAAGGTCGGGTTATGGATAGGGTAAGCAGTTCTAAACATAGTTTTTACTGCTAGGTATAAAAAGGATGGCGTTCTTGGTAAACTGTTGCCATTCGGGGGTCCCGAGCCTGGTTTGGATAGGTACGACTCTACCCCGTAGCACCGCTCCACCTTCGCCACACTGCATCATACCAGAACTGGATTTTTCAATAGTTTTTGTTTGTTTGCTTGTTTATTTACCCCAAAAATAAACGAGAAAGGAATGAATCTGTTTCAGAATCGACTCGGTATAGCTTGCTACTTGCATATACTAGCGACAAGCTTTTTCACTCTGGCTCTTATATTCTCCATTGGCTCAGCGTACTTATTAATCTCGTCCAAAGGTCGAGGAAGTTGTTGTACCACTAAAAAGGAGTACTTGCAACAGTATCGGTAAGCAAAGCACATAAAAAAGTTCTATACTAGCCTAGTGAGTAGTTCGGGAGCTCCCCGTGCCCCGTGGAAGTGCGCGCGGGACGACTCGGGAGCGGTCGTCGCCAATTACTGAGCGACGGTCTTTTCGAACTTTCTACGATCAAAGTCTGCCCCAAATTGTTCCGCCTACATTTCCTCCGTTAATAGGGCAAAAACTTTCTATTATCTGAAGTGTACTAATACTGTGTAATCATTACTGTCACTCCTACCGTACCCATTCATTCCAGATGGCAACAGGAGGCGGCTAGAGCAAGATTTTCTTGTAACAGGAACAACTGCCGACCTATTGTTGTTGTTGAAGACGACATCCTTTGATGGAGATCTCAAAATGGTTCACTTTCTGAAAGCTCCTGTTTTGACAGCATTTTCGCTTGTCTGGTCCTTCTAATCATCGCTTTCACGGACTCCGTGAAACAGCCTTGGTCTCATACCCAACACCTGAAAGGCACTTGTAGAAATTAAGAAGTTCGCCTCCCTATTATTCAGTAAAAAGAGTTAACGGGAGTATTACCACTTCGATACTTGTACAACGTGCGTGTCTGAGAGCGATGTGTCCAACAACTTTTTTGCCTCATTTATGGGAGCCTTATGATGAACCATTCTGAAGCTACTAGGGCGCCTAGGCCCAATCGTATAAGAGCGGATGTTGCAAGTGCTCCTGGAGTATTCCAACAAAAACACCTCTCGCAGAGTCCACTTGCAAGGATCATTCTTTGATAGGTTCCATTGACTAACTATTTTCTAAGCCGTCTTCCCCAAAGCTCGTCTGGGGAACTTTGACCCAGAATGGTCACTCGTGGCAATAATGTTGGCTAACTGGTAAGAATGGCCTCCCTGGAAGCGTGAGGTAGTTCATGAACTGGAACATTTTCGTTTCCTACAGTTCCTCCTTTCCGCCACCTACAATTACCCCTTTCCCGAGCACCCTATTTCGACACTTACCGGGAATTCTTTACCGGGCGCTTGAGTTCATCTACCGAACACCCTACACTCCCTCGACAATCATGCACTCTTGATGTTCAAGAATGTGCAATATTTCCCAGGGCCCTTCTGCAACTTCCTCGTGGTCATTCCCATGACGGGGTACTTTACCAATTCTGTGCCCTTGGAAGAACAAATTCATGTGGCTTCCCACTTGAAAATAGATTATCTAATAGTCAATTAAGATTAATGGGCTGAATCATTTCAAACATCCCTTCAATCAAATCCTTCCAGTCTGGAAGGAGGGAAAGGGTGTTTTCGTCTTGTACAGGCTACGGCTATGGACTGTAAATCGAAAAAATCGTTTTTTTTTCGATACCATAAAAAATATGTATTCCGCAATGACGATCTGATTACGCCAGACAAGGTCTTTGTCATTAATATCTATTAAGCTCGGTTACTGTACTTTTGAGGGTATGTCTATATGAAGTGTACTGTACATATATTGTTAAATTCTCAGTGATCTTCTCGGGGTGATAGCTAGTTATAGCTTGTAATCGATGATCTCTTTGGTTCCTTTATCGATCATTTCATACTCGATAACTAACTTATGTGATCAGCTGTTTCAATTGGCTACTGGATGTTTTTGCATTTCCTTTGCCTTCTTCGACTTGCTGGTGCTTTCGTATGGAAACTTTGTATTTTTTCAATTTTTAGGAATAAAATTCTTATTGGTTGTTTGTATGAATGCCGGCAGAAAAGAAAATTTCTCAGCAGAGATCAGGCCCTCACCGTTAGCTCCATCAATTCCAGCGAAAAGCGTGATTTGCGTCGAGAAACCTGTTCCGTTCCGAGAAGCAGGAAGACCACTTTGAAACAATCAGTGCGGAAGCTCCTACGAATTGCGACAGATGCATCCATGGCTTCTGACCTGGTGATAGGGAAAAAGTGATAGGGATGGCTATGGCTAAGTGTCGTCCCGTCGCAATTCGAGAAAACACGATTCCGTTCAGATCATTCCATCCCACATCATCCATCGTCGGCTATTTGAACGATGACAGAATTGCTTACGAAAATGAACTGGTGGCTATACATTGCATTCGAAGTCCCCACAGAATTCTGGTGGAAGTCAAGTGCATGGCATTTATCATTGCGTTCACTTACATCAAAAATCCGATTTTCAATTT